CTAATTGGTTAGGAAAATGCACCAAAATGTTTTCTTGATGTGCGTGTCTAAGTGAATGTATATTTCAGTAAATAAGGCAACAAAATTTGCATAAATTTCTGTTGGTTCATTGTTGTACTTATAGTGATGTCAATAATGAGATACAGATATAATGTTATTGCATTTGATTTACATCTAGTTCAATAACCAGAACAAATATTATATGGATATACAATTGTTATACAGGTAGTCGTAGGTATCTATGATTTGGGACACACATCAACCTGAATAACAATTCCTTCCATTCAAATAGCCATTGTTTACTTAGTATAGCTGGAGTGTTCCTTCGAACTGAAAGCTATATATTTTCTGAAAGCTTTTTTTTAACCATATTCAGTCCTATATATTTGTTTACAATAGTTTTATGGAATACTTAAAATATTTTTGTGATATGCAGAATCACTTTTAATCACTGTCATCATGATGTGAAGTTTTTATGTTATTATTTTATATTTTCAGCAATTATTTCATGGTCGTAAATTTAGATGGGCTTTTTTTAAACCGAACGGAGAAGTTTTGGAAACAATTACTCACTTGGTAGAGGAAGGCGCTGTAAGTATTTTATTTGAAATGTTAGGCATGTCACACCAAATGTGACAGTACTCGTGAAATATTCACATCAGAGATTTCCTGTCAAAAGCCAAAAAATACTGAGAATTCTGATAAAATTAATATGTTATTGAGTTTTCATCCTCTCAGGGTGTCATCAAGCTCCCACCAAACCTCACACGGGATTATTTTGTCGTTATGAATTTTGTGCTGTTTCATTTCAGATTAAACCAGTTATAGAGAAAACTTACTCCATGGCTAACGCTGATATAGCATTCAGATATGTTGGTAACGGGCATCGTCAAGGAAAGACAGTTATTCTTATAAACAATTAATCAGAATATTACAGATTATAGATTTTTTTATTTCACAATAAACAATTTAATATAAATCCATGAAAGTTTATTTTAGGAGACTATTTATGGTTTATAAATTTAGTAAGTGCTGAACACTAATGTAATTTCTGTCCCAGTGTATATCTGCTGGTGTGTATCTGCTGGTGTGTATCTGCTGGAGTGTATCTGCTGGAGTGTATCTGCTGGTGTATATCTGCTGGTGTATATCTGCTGGTGTGTATCTGCTAGAGTGTATCTGCTGGAGTGTATCTGCTGGTGTGTATCTGCTGGAGTGTATCTGCTGGAGTGTTTCTGCTGGTGTGTATCTGCTGGTGTGTATCTGCTGGTGTGTATCTGCTGGAGTGTATCTGCTGGTGTATATCTGCTGGTGTATATCTGCTGGTGTATATCTGCTGGTGTGTATCTGCTAGAGTGTATCTGCTGGAGTGTATCTGCTGGTGTGTATCTGCTGGAGTGTATCTGCTGGAGTGTTTCTGCTGGTGTGTATCTGCTGGTGTGTATCTGCTGGTGTGTATCTGCTGGAGTGTATCTGCTGGAGTGTATCTGCTGGAGTGTATCTGCTGGAGTGTATCTGCTGGAGTGTTTCTGCTGGAGTGTATCTGCTGGTGTGTATCTGCTGGAGTGTATCTGCTGGAGTGTGTGTATCTGCTTTATATATAAATCCTTTTCCAAGCTTCTGCAGCTGAGATATAGTTATGATTTCCATGGTTTGTACTGTTCTAACTTTACCTGAATTCAAGGGTTAATAATGTAAAACCTACAGTGTTGTAATATTTAAATAATATTAACATTTGTTTACAATGGACACCATGCTAAAAATAGAATCACTTCACTGAACAATTACTGTTAAATTCTCACTGCTAAAAATTGTTGTGATTTGATGTTTTTTTGGTATTCATAAAGACATTTTTTTTTCAAAAGTCACAGTCACACCTTAGAGAAATTGTCACTGCTACAAATTTTCCTGATTTTCACTGAATTGCAAAATTCACGAAAATTAATCTCTTGCAAAACGAAAGCGGTTTACGATAAACAGACATGAATGTTACTGCAAACTTGACTGTAAGCAAGAAATGATACATACCACTACCGACATCGGCAAACATTGATTTGCCTTGCAGTGTATGGCAGATGACAACAAATAAAGGTGTTGCACCTCTAGTTGGTACAGTACGGTAAGTGTTAATTATAAAAATATATCTGGATGGGTGGACTAGACATTTTACTGTACAATACTTTATTTTGGCTGAAGGGATGATTCCAGCGATAAAATCCAGCGAATATATTTCACATCAAACTCATCAAAAATCAGTGAAAAAAAATTCCATACAAAAATGCCCAAAAAGCAAGAAAATTAATTCCAGCGAAAATAAAGTATTCCACAGTATATGAGAATTAGTGTTTATTTATAGTGCAAGTTCAGTTGAGTGCACCACTACCCTATCAGAGAATGATCAGCGCCTTAGATTAGCTGTACACATCAAATCTATGTAGGGGGGGGGGGTCGTCATGCTGTGTCGTTATTGGTATGGGACTCATAGCAACGTACACAATGCATATAAAATACATTGTTTACCGGTATATGAATTCTGTGAGACAACTACCAGCCCTTAAAGATTTACCTTAATGGTATTTATAAAATTTAAGCAGAATGTCAGTACACTACCTACTGGTAAATGGTCTAGAGTGCACAAATTATGAACACCTCTGATTGGTATTTGCTTGGAATGTCCAAACCATCTGTATGTAGCTGCGTTTGTGAAGTAATACCTGAGTAGTGTGGGTTGTAATAACTCCATTAGCATTAGTTAGTATAAAATGAATAGATATATAATTATTTGACACAACATTTTTGTGTGAAGAAAAACATACAAGAAATCAGTGGTCAACATAAATTTTTAAAAATAAAACAAAGACAAAAACTAAAGCTTAAAAATGACAATGAAGATGTCATGTGATATAATTATAATATTGAATATTATAACAAACAACATGTATAATATGTGCACTACATAGGATTACATTGATATGATTGGTGTATTCTTGTAACAACCTCATATTTATACCTCTATACTTCTTTGCAAAATCAGTTCTTAGTTTTTATATCAATAAAGACTTTTTAAATTTTTTTAATAATAACTTGTAGTCATGTGATATATGTGGTGAATAATTTGGAATAGAATTGATGTATTTTTAATTATCTGATTGATCTAAATTAATTGCAATGTAGTTTTTGAAATGGTACATGATGTAAAATAAAGACATTGATTGGGTGAATTTAGTCATGTGACTAACATACTGAATTGTCGCAGTAAATTTCTGAGCCTTTTGAGTTGTTACATGAGATTATCACCATGTAACTTTTTAATCTTTTAAATACTATATTATTTACAGACAAATACTGATGTAATATTTTGTGCATTTTCATGTATTTTTGTTAATTTTGAACCAATTTCCCATTAGCAACAGGTTTTATGGTAATCAATTTTATGTATGAAAAAATATAAAAACCAGACAAAAATTTAACTTTTTTTATGTGCCACATTTAGGTACTGAGATTTTTATATAATGTATTTGTAACTTATACTATATCATTAACAAAATGTTGAGTTTATCCAACTTTTAAAAAAAAAAAATTTTGAAAAATAATTCATGTACGTGCTAGATGATGTTACTGCATGTTTGTGTATATGTAATTTCAATAAATAAAACACATGAATTCATAGACATGGACAAGGTGTAAAATGTAATCAGCTATTTTATTCGTCCGTAATTTGTGCAAAGATATTATTTTTTGTAAGCGTATAAAGCACTTTCCAAATTAAATGTCGTAATTCGTACGCAATTTCCAATTTTCATTCTCAAACACAGACTATCAAAAATATTATAAAAATGTAATTAGGAATTTGCTTCATCTGTAAAGTGTAAAAAAAAACTATTTTTTTTAAAATTATTTTCTGTAAAAACGTAAAATACTTTTCTTTATTTCCTGTAACCTGTACCAGCTATCCATCCACCCCCCACAAATGTTGTCTGAGCTGACACATCAAAACTAGATTTGGTCACACCCATGTAAACATTTATTTATTGAAATGGAAGATAGTGCATATAAGCCATGTTGATCCAAGGTCACTCCTTTTCAAGTCCTCAGACGTCAAATTAATTGAACTCACAAAAATTTTGTGTCAACACCAAATATTTTTTGAAGTAGGCAGAAAAAATCGCCTCAAAATTTTAAATAGCAATTTGACATAATATTTGCACACTATGGTAATTCGATAATTTAAATAGCAATTTGACATAATATTTGCACACTATGGTAATTCGATAATTTAAATAGCAATTTGACATAATATTTGCACACTATGGTAATTCGATAATTTAAATAGCAATTTGACATAATATTTGCACACTATGGTAATTCGATAATTTAAACTCAATTTGAACTGACATGTGTCATAAATCATTGAAGGGAAAAAATAGTTTGTCATATTATGCAGCGCCATTTAGCGACGTAACAATTACTTCCGAGTTAGAGGGTCTAACTACTAGTACTTGAGTTAAGGGGTCCATGCCGGAACAGGAAGCAGCGTTCAACATGGCGACTTGCGGAATTGTTTTGGAATTCCCGTTTTCGATATTTTTGTTATTTCTCGCTATAAATGGTAAGTTTTCCGCTTGTTTTTTGAGTTCGTAATGTATAGTTCTTATTCGAAATGTTTTAACAAACTTCAATTGTGCAGTGATTCTCAGAGATCACGAAAGGTTGCATGATCCACAGTCCCTCTATCATAGATAGAGGGACTGTGCATGATCTCATATTGGGCTCAGGTGATTGCTGTGTAATGAATCATTTTGACAGTAATTTTAACCAAGAAATCCATGACGATGTTTTAAGACCCAATGCACAAGCTAGTATTAAAAGATAAGTTGTTTTTATAGTGATATCTGATGTATAGCGTTGGAAAATATACCTTATTTGGAGTTCTGTGCAGGCCGTGGCTCTGCGTAATCATGTACGTGGGTCTGTGGGGAGAATTAAATTTCATTAAAATAACGTAGAATTTACGAAAAATTAAATTGTGATTTCTGCGATAGCCATTCTCACAGCGCAATACAAAAATGGTGGTGTTCAAATATCAGTGCATGATTACGAAAACGTTGAGTGAAATACAAGTTTGATTTTTTGTTGGCAAAAAAGGAAATATTTCCTTAAAAACACTTATTTATATATTTTCATATTTTATTGCAATAACAGCTTATTTTATGAGTTCGCATTCGTAAAATAATTTTCATCTGGTGCTTTCAGAATATTCAATTCAGTTTTGATTGGATTTGAATGAAAAGTTTAATAAATTAATTATACACTACCGAGGTACTTTCCTGAATGCACTGTAATTATTATCGTAAAAGTTGTTTAAACTCTTGCAATACTTTTTAAAATCTTTAATCGCTTCTTTTAAAAAAAAATTGTTCAGTGAAATCAACACCAGTTGACCATACTTAATTTTGCAACAAAGATGGTATCAAAACATTGGCTCATGATATAACAAAGTTGAAGTTTACATTTATATAGCAAACTAAAGAAATAAAATTGTTTGATTCAAACTGTTACTGAATAAGTAATATTAATCGAACCTCAAAAATGTATTTTTATGTGCATGTACACAGTCTTATTCTTGTACTTTTCATATACACATAAAACTCCGCAATATTTGTTCTCATTTACTAAATCATAAATTTATATTGGTAGTGTTCTATCACGCTACATGAAGTACAGACTAAGATTTAAGCTAATCTCATATGTTTGCATATCACATAGACCCAAGTGCATTCTCAGCCACAGAAGGAAACAATGTTTAGCAAGG